GAGGGGGTGGGGGGGGTGTCTTGGCAGGTAGGAGGCGGCGGGGAGGTAAGGGGTAGCTCAGTGGTTTGAGCATTGGCCTGCTAAACCCAGGGTTGTGAGGTGAATCCTTGAGGGGGCCATTTAGGGATCTGGGGCAAAAATGGAGGATTGGCCCTGCTTTGAGCAGAGGATTGGACTCGATGACCCTCTGAGGTCCCTCCCAACCCTGATATTCTAGGAAACCCAGGCTGGGATCCAGAACTCAGTGCAGGCTGCAATTTAAGGGCTGTGCTGTGGGTCTCCGAGCCTCTGTTTTAGGACTCGTCCTGCCCCCAGGGAACACGTTCAGGCCTGACACCCCGCCCTCCCCCCCACACTCAGGCAGCCCCACGCTGGCCCTGTCTCCCTTCCAGCCACTGGCTGGGCCCCGGGGCTCTGTAGGATCACAGGCTGTGGGGGCCCTGCTGCAGTTTTGCACAGCGTCCCCCCCGCAAGGGGCCTGAGGCTGGGGGGCCCTGCATGCCAATCCCATGCTCTGCTCACAGGACAGGCTGGCTTTGCCAAGGGAGGGCTGCATGACAGCTGGACTCTTCCTCCAGGCCTGGGCTGGAGACCAGCAGGTGGGACGGCTGCCGGAAAGCGGCACTGCTCTCCCCAAGCAGGTCAGAGCCAGACTCTTGGCAAACCCCCCAGACCCAGTCCCCACTGTCAGGCCCCTCCTTTCATGCTAGCTCCCAGGAGGAAGTGGGAAGAGCCTAGGCAGAGGCAGGGCAGACACAGCTTTGGGGTTAGGCGGTGGCTTCTGGCAGTGCCCCCCCACCACTGTCCTGCCTGCCAGCGCAGGGGAGCGTCGGCTCCTTTCTAGTCAGTGCTTCAGGATGGGCAGAAACAGAGGAGAGGGGTGGTTACCCAAGGGCCCCTCCCGTCTGACGCCCCTGGGACTTGGGAGTCCCTCTGCCATCTCAGCCTCGGCAGAGGTGCCCCGGACTGGGAGGGCCCTAGAACCAGATCCTCCAGGACCTCTGGGGCGCTCCCAGAGCCCGGCTCTCCGACATGAGGGCAGCACCCCCGTCCCAACCTTTGCTCAGGGGCGGGGGATGCGCACACACAGACCCTGGGGCAGACCCAAGCCGGTCTCCTTTTCCCTGCCCAGGACGCTGTCCCTTGGGGGCCTGCCCTCCAGCCAGCTAGTGCCGGAGCCTCAGCCCCCCATCTGCCAAGAGCATCACTAGTGGGGCCTAGGCATGAGCCCCTCTGGGAAGGGGGGCCCAGAGTCACCGGGCCCAGGGGACACTGCCTTCATCTGGGCCAGCTTTAGCTCCCGCCCAGCCTGGAGGTGAACCGGATCCTGTTAAAACCCCACATCAGCAGCTCCCAGACATCTCGCCCCCCATTGGCTGGCTGCCTGCTTCAGGGACAGCCAGCCTAGAAACCCCGCGGAGCAGTTTGTTTTTACCAGGGCATCCAGCCAGACTCCCCCACACCCCCGCCCCACCTTTTATCTTGGCTGCTCAGAGCACCCGGCCGACGCAGCCAGCACCATGCAGGCAGACAGACCCCTGGGCCGTGCTCTAGACCTGGGCAGAGTTTCCCATGCCTTCCCACTGGCTGCGCTCTCAGGGCTTTCCCAGAGCAGAGGGCTCAGCCCTCCTGGCTTCAGCTCGAGCAATAGTGCTGGTTAGGGGGTGGCAGCGTGGGGAGCAGGGCTTGGCGGCAGCGTGCATGGCAGAGCTCCATGGCAGCAAGATGGTATCATCAGCCCACGGCCTGCTCCCAAGCCAGTGCTACAGACAGCAGCCGCCAGACACTGGGTTTTAGGTCTTTCACCCACAGACACAAATGCGTGACTGTCATTTAAAACGAAGTCCCCACCCAGCTCCCGCTTGGTGCGGCTGGAAGCCTGGGCCTGGCAGCCTGGGCCTGGCTGTGCCTGCACTCCTGGGAAGCGGACGGCTGCTTTAGTGCCTAGAGCTCAGGGACCAGAGTTGGCAGCTCCTTGATCGGGGGAAGTCACTGCCCCTCTCTGTGCCTCAGTTTCCCTGACCCGGGAAACAGGGCCAGCCTCACCTCATCAGGGTTTGGATTGGCTTAGATGGTAGGGGCTAAAGAAGGGCCAAGGATTAGACATGGGCTCTGTCTTTTGCGCGTCCTGGGCTCTGATCCTGCAGCGATCTGCCAATAATTTTCCTCTCCCTCCATGGCTGGTAGTAAGCTCCCACCCAGAAACGTGCACACTGGGCAGAGGAGGATCAAACCCTTCTCAGCCACCCCACAGGACAAACAGGCTGAAACCAGGGGCGCTCCCCAGAGGGGTTAGGACCTGGCTCTCAATGAGTATTCAGGTCCGAGAGAGTGAACAGCTCAGGGCTGCGTGGAGACCTGAGAGGAGCAGGTGTCTCCTCCCTCCAGTTCGTGCTTTGAGAGCACCGATGCCAGAGGCAGATGAACAGGTGGCTTCAGGAGCCCTTTAGAATATATATATTTTTTTAGAATATCAGGGTTGGAGGGGACCCCAGGAGGTCATCTAGTCCAACCCCCTGCTCAAAGCAGGACCAATCCCCAATTTTTGGCCCAGATCCCTAAATGGCCCCCTCAAGGATTGAACTCACAACCCTGGGTTTAGCAGGCCAATGCTCAAACCACTGAGCTATCCCTTCCCGCCCCGTACATGACGGCAGGGGAATCCCCAGCCCTCCAGTTGGTTTGGGGCATCATTCTTACCAAGGGGCTCCACAGGGCACCGGCAAAGCACTCCATCGGCATGAGCAGGGATGATGTTTGGCAACTCACTAGGCAACACTTCCAGAGAGCGGCACTCCAACCAGTGCCGGGGCACAACCCTAGAGGGCCTGTGCTGCCCCTGAGAGCGGGCAGCCGCTACCACTACTGGCCACGTGTGGTCTGTAAAGACTCACAGGCGCGTTAGCCAGAATCATGATGTTTGCCCAGGACTAAATCTAGTTTACACTCAGTCTCACAATCTGCTGACTAATCCTCCCTGCAGTGGTGATTGGATATGGTCGCCTCCACTTCCTGTCCTAAACTGCTGGTACAATTAAGTACAGCTTGTTCCACCCCAGAGGAAGCTGCACTTCAGCAGCGACCGGTCACCCTAGCACCTGCATGCATGTGACCATTGGAAGCACTCAGAGATCCTTCCGCATGAAAGAAGTTATAGGCATGCAGCAGATTCCGAGAGGTTCACATGTATTTCAGTTTTTGTTCTTATGATCTGCATATATGGGTAACGAAAGTAGTTTCCCTACCCAGGGAACATTCACCCATCTCTGGGGTGGAACACCGCCACTGCTCAGCAGCACGCAGCATCACCGCACATCGCGACAAGAAGCGAAGAATGCTGGGAGGAGATAAATCACAGTCCCGGTGGCTTAGAGTTTCACCAGCCCTTTGTGGAAGAGAAGAGCTACTTTCCAGAAACAACGTGTTCTTTAATTGAATTCACCCTGCAGGGCAGCGGGGCTTTAAAGCTGCAGGATTTTAAGTCTCTGGTATTTCTTCTGTTGAAACTTAACCAGTTTCACCCATTCCACAGAGAACTCAGCCTGTCCTGCAATACACTGCAAGGGCTTTAATCTGTGGCCTCACACACCAGAACCATCTCTCCCAGCACACACAACCATTAAATAAGGCCCAGCGCAGGAGGGAGAGCACAGGCAGAACCCCTCAGACACTTTGCAGTTGGCCCGTTTGTTGGATGGGAATGATGCATCAATGCAGTTTGTGAGATGGGCGACAACTTCTGCATTTTGTTAACGATTCCTCCACGCCTCCCTGTCCTAGGCTGCCGGGCCCTGCTCGAGTCCTGGGAGAGAGCCATGGCTTAAGGAACTCTCGCAAGCTGCTAAGAAAAGCCTCTAGGATTTTGGTATTGCTACCTTATAAAGCTCCAAGATAAACAGGCTCTGCTCCAGCTCCTATGGAGCCAGGCTGGGTGGGCAAATCCAGCTCCAGGGCTGCAGACATAGTGACAGCCCTTGCTTTCAATGGGAAGAGAAAGCAACTTCAGCTTGCAAAGCCCCTGAGCCTGCCAACGGGGCTGGGTTGACAGCCAGGCCTCAGAGGTCAGTGCAGTTCCAGGACCAGCACTAGGGGACACAGCTGCACTCACTAGGGAGAGTGCTACATGCTGTATTCTTAACAGGTCCTAGACAAACTTTCCCTAGAGCATAATGACAGGTTTCAGAGGAACAGCCGTGTTAGTCTGTATTCGCAAAAAGAAAAGGAGTACTTGTGGCACCTTAGAGACTAACCAATTTAAAAGTCTGCTGCAGTTTCCACGGTACACATCTGATGAAGTGAGCTGTGGCTCACGAAAGCTCATGCTCAAATAAATTGGTTAGTCTCTAAGGTGCCACAAGTACTCCTTTTCTTTTTCCCTAGAGCCACTCTTTCAGCAATGCTGGGATAGGTTTAAGGAATAAACCGATTCCTCGAGCATCCAGAGGATTCTCCTTCTTCGACTATAACAATTTGATAACAGGTCAGATCACAGCAGGCTCTCCCACCCCCAAATGCAAGATAAGGAAAAGGCACAGCCAGACCCCCCACCCCAAAATCACTTCTCCCATCTAGGCCATTATGATAGGCAGAGCAGCTGCACAGTTAAAGTCCACCCAGCCACCCCTCCCACTGGGCCACAAGTCACCATCAAAGCAAAAGAACCATCAGAGCTAACAGTTCCCATCAGAGCCAGGGCATAAAATTCACTGGTTGATCACACGTGCCATCTGGCTCTGCTCTCTTGTGCAGCAAGAGGTCCCGACACTGGTTGTGTACCGGCGCCTGTAACACACAGCTGAAGGGGCTGGGCACCAACATACTGCAGAGTTATCACAAAACACAGGCTGCTGCTGGTCTGATGTTTCGTGCTCTGGAATAGCAGGTCAACGCAATCCACTCCTCACTTTCCCCTTGGAGGGAGCTCTCAGTCAGGAAAGGAACCCGAGGCCAACATGGGCGGCCGACAGCATCCTGCGCTGGCCCCACTGGCCCAGACTTACCCCTCTTCTGGATGATGATCCTGAGCAGTGGGCTAGCGGAGGAGAGAGCTTTGTGGTAGTTATCGTCATTGTTGATGGGCAGCAAGTCCCCGTGAACGTCCGTGTACCCCAACAACACATCCACGCAGGGGATCTGATGGACCGTCTGGATCAGCTGGTAGAATTCCTGGAAGCCGCCCACGCTGGAGCGCTTCACGGCAAAGCGGCGGAACTCGGCGTCAAACTGGGGGCAGAGAAGAGGGGTCAGGGCCAGAGACCAGCATAGGAGCCAGGGGGCTCAGCCTCAGCTCTGCCCCACGATTGGCTTCGCGTCCAGCCCATAGGGGATCAGTCAGGGGCTCTTACCAGCCGAGATGGCCAGGGCTTGGTGTCTGCACATACATGGAATGAGGTCAGACTACACATAGCCCACTGGGTCCCCTACACCGACTCCTTCCCCAGGAGCCATGAGCGTCACCCCAGCACCCTCACCCCTCCAGGGGGCTCCTTCCCACCCCACACTGACTGACTCGCTGCTGCATCGGGGCACCCTCTGGCCTATATGGGGTCCAGAGCCCAAGGATCTGCCTGCACCTAGCGTGTGGGCTGAGGAGTCAGACCCATGGGAAGACAGGGGCCACTGGGAATGCCAGGTGGCACCGCAGGTCAGAGGGAAGCTCCGAGGTGCAAGGAGCCCTGAACAGGGTCACGCAGTCAAGTCGCGCCCTAAGCACTGCCTTCGCACTCGGCCAGTTCTAGCCACCGTGTGTTCACCATTGTAGGGGGCTATGGAAAGCCCCTTGCCCAGCATCACTTTGCAAGGCAGAGAAAGCAGACCTGGGTCACCTATAACTTGGCTGCCACACAGGAAGGGACGCAAAAGCCCGCTCTGCGTCCCCTCACTCCCCGGTAAGCCACGCTTACCCAGTAGCCAGCGCTCCACTTCCACCGCGGGGTTTACAGAGGCCCCCCCTTACCAACTGTAAGCCTGACACATGCAAGCAGCAGGTCAACGCACGCCGGTGCCAGGAGGCAATTCCACAGTCACGTTTCCACGAGGAGCTGCTGCCTACTAGAGTCTCTGAGTGGAAAGGTTAAAATCCATCCGGGGAGACGACTGCCAGGAGAGCCAAGCCCCCAGGTGTCCCCTCCATCCCACGCCTCCTCCAGCGACGCCCCAGACCAGAGGCAACAATAAAAAGTCTACCCAGCAACTTCAGCCGCGACGGCGTGCCGACTGGGCAGACCCGCCGTGCTGCGGCACCGGGGACACTCAGGGTGGTGGCACTCAGCCCGGGCTGGCAGAATAAAGGGTTAATTGGGGGGTGCAAGAGAACTTCCCTGTCCTAGGCCGCAGGGGAGGCTGCATATCCAGCCCCTCATCTCTCCGCAGACAACCCAGGCACTTGGCCCAGCAAGCGCCCTCATTCCTGCTCCCCTCAGAAAAACCAGCCCCCCGCCAGGAGACCAAGAGAAGCCGATGAAACGCCAGGTGCGGTCCTGCAGCGCCAGCCAGACTCCAGCGGGCACAGATGCCAGAGGAGAAGCCAGGTGGATTCCGGGGGCGCCCAGCCGGGAACCTGCTTCTCTTCCCCCCGGCCAGAGACGGAAAGTTTCCGGCCCGCACAAGCCGAGCAGATCGGCCGCTCCCTCCACCGGCTCCACAGGCGAGGGCCCTTCCTCGCGCAGCCCACGGGCGTCCCGGGGACCGACGCTGGAGCTGTCGCCCTGCAAGGCGGCAGCGCGGTTCCGTTGCATCGTTGCATAACCTGCCGGCTATTGCGAGGGCTCCGCGCTGCACAGGGCAGCCGAGCCAGCCCCCTGCCTCCCCCGGGAGGGGACACGGGCTCGGGCGATCCTGCCCCTGCACTGAAGGGCGACTGGAGCCCCCAGGCTGCAGCTCCGTGCACGGAATAACCCGCCGGCCCCGGCCAGAGCGGTGGATGCGCGGGCTGACTTGGCGGCAGCCGGAGCGCGCCCGTCCTGCCCCGGCTGCAGCCCCGGGCCGCGCGGGACCCCCTGCGACAGGGACCCGGGGCCTCCCCCGGGGCCGGAGGCTGCACGCGCCGCCCCCGAGGCGGCGGGGCGGGGCGGGCGGCGCGGGCAGAGGCTTACCTTGCTCTTGACCTCGATGACGGGCTCCGGGCTCCGCGCCGGGGTGCGATGGTGCTTGGCCATGCCGGGCCGAGCCGAGCCGAGCCGAGCTGGGCCGGGCCGAGCCGAGCCGAGCCCGGCTGCTCCTCCCGCCCCGCCGCCTGCCCGCCCCGCACTGGCTGCGGCTCCTGCGGCCACGGGGGGTTGTCACCGGCCGTGACGTCATCCCGAGCAGGTTAGGGGCCGCCACGGGATTGGTGGAGGCCGGGCCCGGGGGCGGGCTCAGAACGTCCCCTGCGTCTGGATGGAAGATTGCTGACAACGTCGCCTAGGTAACTGGGGCGGGAGCGCTCCAAGGTGTAGTATCGGGATCTGAAGGACGGGGGGGGGGGTGAGAGTGTCCGGGGGCGCCGTGCCCCGGGGGGCGCAGGGGAGGAGCGTGTCCGGGGGGGCCGTGCCCCGGGGGGGCCTAGGGGAGGAGAGTGTCCGGGGGGCGCCGTGTCCCGGGGGGCGCAGGGGAGGAGCCTATCCGGGGGCGCCGTGCCCCGGGGGGCGCAGGGGCAGGAGCGTGTCTGGGGGGCGCCGTGCCCCGGGGAGCGCAGGGGCAGGAGCGTGTCTGGGGGGCGCCGTGCCCCGGGGGCCTAGGGGAGGAGCGTGTCCGGGGGCGCCGTGCCCCGGGGGGCCTAGGGGAGGAGAGTGTCGGGGGGGCCGTGCCCCGGGGGGCCTAGGGGAGGAGTGTGTCCAGGGGGGCCGTGCCCCGGGGGGCGCAGGGGAGGAGCGTGGCCGGGGGGGCCGTGCCCCGGGGGGGCGCAGGGGAGGAGCGTGGCCGGGGGGGGCCGTGCCCCGGGGGGCCTAGGGGAGGAGCGTGTCTGGGGGGGGCGGTGCCCTGGGGGGCCTAGGGGAGGAGCGTGTCTGGGGGGGGCGGTGCCCTGGGGGGCCTAGGGGAGGAGCGTGTCCAGGGGGGCCGTGCCCCGGGGGGCGCAGGGGAGGAGCGTGGCCGGGGGGGCCGTGCCCCGGGGGGCGCAGGGGAGGAGCGTGGCCGGGGGGGCCGTGCCCTGGGGGGCCTAGGGGAGGAGAGTGTCCGGGGGCGCCGGGGAGGAGCGTGTCCAGGGGGGCCGTGCCCCGGGGGGCGCAGGGGAGGAGCGTGGCCGGGGGGGCCGTGCCCCGGGGGGCTCAGGGGAGGAGCGTGTCCGGGGGCGCCGGGGAGGAGCGTGTCCAGGGGGGCCGTGCCCCGGGGGGCGCAGGGGGGCCGTGCCCCGGGGGGCGCAGGATTCAGGGGCTGCGAGTTATATCGGCCCGTAGTGCAGGGCTCCAGCAATATTCGGGGCATGGGGGCCCAGCTCCACCAGTGTTTAGGGCTTGGTCTCACTCCGGCTCCGCCTGCCGCCCCCAAGTGTCCCCCTTGGCCCCCACTTGCTGCCCCCGCGCATCTCTCCTGGGGCCCCAGGGCATCCCTCTCTCAGCCTAGGCGCTGCCTCTGCTCGCTGCGGGCGTCAACTACCACCGCAGGGTCCTAGCGCCCCCAGCACCAGCGCCAGGGCAGGCAGCCCTGACCCTCCCGGGACCCTCCACCAGCACGGGGGGCCTCCCGCCTGCAGTCACCACTTCTGCCCCACGCTGGGCAAGGGGCAACCCCATCCCCCACCCCAACCCTCTGCCTAGCCCTGAGCCCCTCCCACACCCCAAACCCCTCATCCCCAGCCAGAGCCTTCATCCCCAGGCACCCTAACTCTCTGCCTGTGCTCCTCCTCATCCCCAGCCCCACCCCACAGCCCTCACCCCGCACCTCAACCCTGTGCCCTTACCCTTCCCACACCCCAAACCCCTGATCACCAGCCCCACCCCACAGTCCTCACCCCATACTGCAACCCTCTGCCTGAGCCCCTCCCACACCCCAAACCCCTGATCACCAGTCCCACCCCACAGTCCTCACCCCATACTGCAACCCTCTGCCTGAGCCCCTCCCACACCCCAAACCCCTGATCACCAGTCCCACCCCACAGTCCTCACCCCATACTGCAACCCTCTGCCTGAGCCCCTCCCACACCCCAAACCCCTGATCACCAGTCCCACCCCACAGTCCTCACCCCATACTGCAACCCTCTGCCTGAGCCCCTCCCACACCCCAAACCCCTGATCACCAGTCCCACCCCACAGTCCTCACCCCATACTGCAACCCTCTGCCTGAGCCCCTCCCACACCCCAAACCCCTGATCACCAGTCCCACCCCACAGTCCTCACCCCGTACTGCAACCCTCTGCCTGAGCCCCTCCCACACCCCAAACCCCTCATCACCAGCCCCAGGCCACAGCCCTCACCCCGCACCTCAACCCTCTGCCTGAGCCCTTCCCACACCCCAAACCCCTCATCACCAGTCCCACCCCACAGTCCTCACCCCGTACTGCAACCCTCTGCCTAAGTCCCTCCCATACCCCAAACCCCTCATCACCAGCCCCACGCCACAGCCCTCACCCCGCACCTCAACCCTGTGCCCTTACCCTTCCCACACCCCAAACCCCTCATCACCAGCCCCACCCCACAGTCCTCACCCCATACTGCAACCCTCTGCCTGAGCCCCTCCCACACCCCAAACCCCTCATCACCAGCCCCACGCCACAGCCCTCACCCCGCACCTCAACCCTGTGCCCTTACCCCTCCCACACTCCAAACCCCTCATCACCAGTCCCACCCCACAGTCCTCACCCCGTACTGCAACCCTCTGCCTAAGTCCCTCCCATACCCCAAACCCCTGATCACCAGCCCCACGCCACAGCCCTCACCCCGCACCTCAACCCTCTGCCTGAGCCCCTCCCACACTCCAAACCCCTGATCACCAGCCCCACGCCACACATGGTTAGTTTTCAATATGCCACAGAGTCTTTTATTGACAACACATAAGTGCCTCACATCATATCAGCTGGGCAGGAATCTCAAACTTCATTGCACCGCGACCCCCTTCTGACAACAAAAATTACTGCATGAACCCAGGACGGGGGAATGAAGCCTGAGCCTGTCCAAGCCCCGTGGCCCAGGGTGTGTGTGTGGGGGGGGCAAAGCCCAAGTCCCACCGCCCCATGCGGGGTGGGTGGGGAGTGGAACTGAAGGCCAAAGGCTTCAGTCCCAGGCAGGGAGCCTGTAACTTGAGCCCTGCCACCCAGGGCTGAAGCCCTCAGACTTGGGCTTTGGCCCTGGGCCCCAGCAAGTCTATCCCAGGCCTGGTGACCCCATTAAAACAGTTTGAGAACTGCTGTGCTAGGGGAAAGCTGGAGGTTTGGGCAGCAGGGGAAGGAACAGCCAGGGCTTATGGCATCAGGGAAAGTGGGGAGGCAATTTGGAGTAAGAAAATTAGCTTGATAGTTCTACTGAAATTATCAATAGTGAAACAGATGTCAGCATTACGCTTCAGAGTCAACCCTCCCTTTTGGTGATTGGGGCAGTTCAGGCCCCTCAGAGCTATTGTTCCAGGCTGTCTGCACACTCAGGAAGCTTCCACTATTTCACATTTTCAGAGGTGTTTTTTTTTAAAACCAACCATAAGGGCTAGAAACATAATTTAAAAAAACAGAAAGCAAAGATTCTGGAGCAGAGTTTTGCTGGATTCTGTGTAGATTCCATGGCTTAGGAATTGTGGCGCACCTAATACCCTGGAGACTGGGGTCTAGGAGGGTGGGAATGAGTGCTCCTCCAGGGAAGCAATTGTTTCAGGGTGACGATGAGGACAGCTGCTTTCTGTGTTGAGATGGTATCTGTGGTGCTTTGAATGGCCTCTCTGCGCCATGGCTCCTCTAACGTGATCAGAGAGATTTCCTGACACACAAACATTCTGAGGGCGACATGACACTTAAATATTCATCTGGCATCATGGCGCACACTGCTTTGCATGGCAAGGTGATGTGGCATGTGCAGGGCAGAGGGCATTGTCCAAACCCCATTTGTAAGGAGGTTGCTTTCACATGTTAACACCAGGGAACAGAGGAGTGATAACCAGCGCACAGCCTGGTAGACACACTATGGTTCCTAACTAAGGGAGGGGACCGGGTTTTGTCTTTGCCCATCAGCTGTGATTGTCAGTTGTACCCAAGGTCTGACAGGGTGTTGCCGCTTTGTGGATGGGCCAGCCAAACTGTGGCTGCTTTGCAGGGTTCGGCTGTCATGGCATCCCTCAGGGCCTTGCAGTCTGTTACCAGACGTGCTCTGTTCACTCACCTGCCCTCTGCCAGGCATCACACAGGGCTGGGATCAAAAGACACGTCCGAGGCATTGGCAGCATTTGGGAGCCCAAAAGAAAACGGGAAACCAGGACTCAACTGTCGTGCAGTTTGGTCCCCTGCCCCGGTTTGTAACTGTGGTGCAAACGGGAACATGTGCCACGGCCCTGGAACGGGGAGGCCCATGCTGCCCTCAAGCGTTGTCCAGTTGTCTGGTGTCAAGCTGGCGCTGGTCTGGAGAGCCCCTTCGCGTCACGCTTGCAGCGAGCACCGTTCTGCTCCCAGCAGCTTTGTCCGGACGTGGGGAAGTGGTGGAGCTTAGGTCAGGCTCAGCTTTCCTGTCCTAGCCAAGCGTGGCCTCCACTCAACCTGTTTCTGAGTCGAGATGCAGAGTAACACCTTGTTGCCTGATTTAGCTGGTCGAGCTGCACATGGGCTCCTGCCTGGACTAGGACACGACCAGCTAAAATCAAGCTAAAGATGTTACTCTGGCATCTACATCAGGGAGAAGGTTTAAGTTGGGCGTAGCTAGCTCTGCTCACCTGAGCCTGAATGAAACCTCCTAGACAAGATAAACACTTTGTGGCTGGTTTCCTGAGAGTGATGGTAGCTCTCCCTGTAGACATGTGCATTTGGCAACATATTTGGAAACGGGAGCTGGATGCTTAGTCTATTGCTAGGTGTGTGGGTGTGGGTGTGAATGAGACAGCTGGTGTTTGTAAGCCAATAAACACATATACAAAAGCAGTGTGTGTCAGGATCTGCCGATGCCCCTCAATCCCGACCCGCAGCCCCCTTGTTATGCCAGCCCTGCTGATGCCCCTCAATCCGGACCCGCAGCTCCTCCCTCCATGATAACAAAGACCTCATCTATTAACCTGCTTTCCGTCTCCGGACAGTCATTCATTCTGGACCATTCAGCTGCAACCGGAGTCAAATCCTGTGCTGGGAGCCAGAGATGTTTTGGGAGGCTGAGGATCCT